CACGACAAAGGACCCGCGATCAGGCTGAAAGTTGGCCGGATTGAGAAAATTCTTGCACGACTGGAGAATCATCCCGAAAAGGGCAAAAAATAGGATTTGAAGGAAACCCGACTTTTGAAGAAATTTTGACGCCTATCCCTGAGCCTTTGTCAATTCTGTTGCTTCACACCAGAGCAGAGAGAACAGTCGAACCTAAGCTAAGTCTCCTTAGCCGGAGAGACCATACAACCACTACACTAATGCATGGACCAGCACAGGAGAGTCGGTAACTCTGGAGAAGATTCAAAGGGACACTCACACCTCAAGAAGGTCCAAATGTTTAGATTTTGAGCAGAGAGGACAGATGATTTGGAAGAGGGATGGAGGAAGCCATCTTTTTGAAAAGAGAAAATCCATCATTGAACAGAGGGCGGGGATTACGGATTCAGCTTCCAAGCATTTAATGTCAAACGGTGGTTTCACATTGAATCAATCTGTGTTCTAATCACATAAACATTAATGGCAGAGACATAGACAGGTATGGGGCATTGCAGGCTAACAAAGAAGTCAAACGACCCCCATTCCAAAGGGGGGGACCCGTTCATCCGTTTCTATTTGCATCTTTTCTAAACTAAAACCAGGCTTTGTTGGGCTGCTGGATAAAACCTGGAACTAAACGCTATTTCTGACATTTTGGATTGAAAAATCTTCCTGGGTGGAAGAGAAACGTCTTCAAACTTGGAAACAAAGTCCAGTGGATTGATTTATTTCAGTTTTTTGGAATGATAAGAAAACTTTGAAAGCCCAGTCATAAGCTGTTGTTTGCACTTTATTTCAGTTAGGTTTACATTTTATTCTATCAACTCCAAACTTCTGGATCATCTGGATATTAGATGGACCTTAGAACTCGATTTGGATCAAGCTGAAATCTAAAGTCGGGACCTGATTACATAGGCTACGTTCACACTGCAGCCTGAAGTGACCCAAATCCGATTTTTTGGCCCTTATGTGACCTGGATCCTATCTTCTCATGGCTGTCTGAACAACACAGATCTGATTTTTTCCAATCCAACCCAGGCCACTTGGCTCTGTGGTCCTGAATCCGATATGAATCTGATCTTTTCAAATGCGACCTCTGTCTGATCGGCCAGGTCGCATTCATCCAATGTGAACACTATTAATACTCAACAAAGGTCATGCTGATGAAGATTCTCAGTCATCCAGCTCATAGTCATTCCAAAAAATATCCACTGGACTTGGTTTCCAAGATTTGAAGACGTTTCGCCACCTCTCTGGGAAGCTTTCTCAATTCAAATGTCACTATTCTGAGACTTGCTATGAAGAAGCGGCAAGAAAAACAACAACCATGGCGGATGATGATGCAGAGAGCAGCTTTTATGTTTAACCACATTGAAAAAATCTAGTTTTTATGGTTGGGAAAGATCGCTAAATGCGCTCCAGCGCTACAATCTATGTTTATTTCCGTAAACACAGAGCACGCTCGCTATATGTGATGTCATTGCTTCCTCTACTGTGCATGCGGGACAATTACATCTTTTGACTGCAGTTCACACAGGAGATCACATACAAGCAGTGATGGGACTAACGCCGTTACCTTGTTATAGTAACTAGTAATCTAACTAATTACTTTGACTGTAAATATAACGCTGTTACCATTGCAGACACCCCGTTACTGCACGTTACTCAAGTCGCACAATGAACCTTTTTTCATGATAGGACTCGTGTGCGCCTTGTCATGAGAGAGGGGAGGATGTGATTGGCTGATGTATAGTGAGATTCCGTCTGTCAGTTGGGTAGGTGGGTGTTTCTGCTGGCGGGTGTTAACGTACAGCAAACACAGAGAGATGGAGAGTGAGGAGGACTCCAGCAGCAAAACAGCGTTTTCCTGATGGAAATACCGGTGCAGCGCAGGTGGCACGATTCACCGCGCAAGCGACAGGAAACACGCATGCTCGCTAAAGGCGCGCAACAGTCGCCCTGTGCTCGCGCCACAGGAGAACTATGGAGAGCGTGAATGATCAAATGATAGCCTAGATGGAAAAAGGAAGAAATCTGGATGGATGGATGGATGGATGGATGGATGGATGGATGGATGGATGGATGGATGGATGATGGATGGATGATGGATGGATGGATGATGGATGGATGGATGGACGGATGGATGGATGGATGATGGATGGATGGATGGATGGATGATGGATGGATGGATGGATGGATCATGGATGGATGATGGATGGATGGATGGATGGATGATGGATGGATGGATGGATGGATGATGGATGGATGGATGGATGGATGGATGGATGGATGGATGGATTGATGGATGGATGGATGATGGATGGATGGATGATGGATTGATGGATGGATGGATGGATGGATGGATGGATGGATGGATGGATGGATGATGGATTGATGGATGGATGGATGAATGGATGGATGGATGATGGATGGATGATGGATGGATGGATGGATGGATGGATGGATGGATGGATGGATGATG